GGGGAAAAAAAGAGGAGAGAGAAGAAGGCATTAAAAAAATAGTACAAATAAAAATGAAGATGAAATCAGAGTTATAATAAAAAGATATCAGAATTTTTGTCAACTTTATGTCAACAAATTTCAAAATTTTATTAACAAAAGCATAATTCACCAAAACTGCCTAAAAAAAAAACTTGACAATCTTATAACTAATAGAGAAATTGAAAGAGTACTGTAAAATACTTCCCCCATAAAAAGAACCACCAAGCCCCAAAAATTTAAATTGTGTTACAGAGTCCTACCAGAGAACAAAAAGGGGAAGATATCCTCCAGCTCACACTTAGAGGAGAGTAAATGTGATACCAAAATTACAGAAAGATAGCCTGAGAAAGGAAGATAACAGGCCAATCTAACTCATGAAGCTACCTCCAAATATCCTAAAGAAAATATTAGAAGTCAAAAAGTATTTTAAAAAATAATTATCAATTTTGACCAGGTTGGATTGATCCTAAAAGGTCCCTGGGTGACAGAAATGGTTTGCACTCAACTGCTAACTTATAAGGTGCCCTTGTGGCACAATGATTAAGTACTCAGATGTTAAATAAAAGGTCAGATATTTGAGCCTATGAGTGGCTCCACTGGAGAAAAGATCTGGCTATCTGTTCCCATAAAGAATGGGAAACTTATGGGGCAGTTCTACTCTGAAATATAGAATCGCTATGAATGAGAACTGACTGAACGGCTCACAAAACAACTACTAACCTAGATATTGGGGGCTTGAACCTATCTAGGAGCACCATGGAAGAAAGGGCTAGCAATCACTTCTGTAACATAGGGGGTTGCCATGAGTTGGAATTGACTCAATGACAATGAGTTTGGTTTTGTTGCTCTTGAAGTTTATCCTAGGCATGCAAGGGAGATTTTATGTTAGACATGTTTTAAATGTCATTCATTCTACAGACATTAAACACACACACACAAAAAAAATCTTCTTAACAGATGCAGAAAAATAGATATTTGATAAAATTTAATACACATCATATGAGCCTCAGAGTCCATGACCCTGAGACCAGAAGACCTAGATTGTGCCCGGCTACCACAACTGACCACTCTGGAAAGGATCATAACAGAAGGTCCTGGATAGGATGGGAGAAAAATGTGGAACAAAACTCAAAATCTTACAAAAATACCAGGCTTACTAGTATGATAGAGACTTGTGGAACCCCTGAGACTATGGCCTTTAGTCACCTATAAGTCTACAACTGAACTCACCCTTGTGGCCAACTTTCATCCAAACTTACTGAACTATATGGTGAACAATAACACTCCTTAGAACAATCAACATATGAGATCAAAAGGGCAGCATTTGCCCAAGGATAAATCACAGCAGGCAGGAAGAGATAGGAAAGAAGAATGAACGGAAATGGGAAACACAGGGAAGAAGTAGGAAGAGTGCTGTTACATTGTGGGAATAACAATCAATGTTACGAAACAAAACGTGTATGAATTATTGAATAGAAAACCAATTTGCTCTGTAAACTTTCACCCAAATCACAATAAAAGTTAAAAACAAAACAAAAACAAAAAGCAGATTAGACACAGAAACAAGCACAAACTCTTGAAGTTTATTCTAGGGGAAAGATAGATGCCATGTGAAGATTGCCAAGAAACAGAGGAACACCAGAGTTACAGAAGCCGAAAGAGACAAGGATCTTTTTACCCCAGAACCAACAAAGAGAGAGCCTTCCCCTAGAGCCAGGACCCTGAATTCAGACTTCTAGCCTCCTAAACCATGAAAAAATAAATTTCTCTTTTTTAAAGCCCCACCCCCCAAAAAATTAATAAACAAGTGCTATAAAAACTACCAACAAACTTGGTAAAGAAGAGAGTCTCCTTAACCTGAGAAGTATGTTAATAATGATAACTCATTCCTGATGAGGAAGAATTGGAATAATTCTTTAAAAAATAAAGACCAAAACAAGGATGCCTGCTATTATGGATTCTATTCATCATTGAATTGGAGGTTCCAGGCAGTGTAGTAAAGCAAGAACAAGGATTGAAATAATGAATAAAACTGTTACTCACTGATAGTTACTACTTTCATAGAACACTCAAAAGAACCTACAATTTCTTAGACATTATGAGAAGTTTAGCAAAGTGTTTGAATAAAATGACATAGAAAAATTTATTTTGCACATATATATGTTAACTTCATGAAGGAGTCTGGTGGTACAACGCTTAAACCCAGGACCTTCACAGGAGAAAGACATGGCAACCTGCTCCCATAAAGATGATAACCAAGAAAAGCCTACAAGTCAGTTCTACCCTGTCACATGGGGTTGCTATGAGTTGGAATCAATTCAACACACCCAACCACAGCGATATATGTTAACATCAATCAAAAGATGCAATATTTATAAGGAAATTATAAAAGGAATAAAAATTATAGGGTACACAGGAATACATCTAATGAAAGATTTACAGGAACTATATACAAAATTATAAAACTTTACTGGAAGACATTAAAGAAGACTTAATTTAAAATGATGGGATAATCTATCAGTAAACTCATTAACATAAGTCTATCGTGTCTCCTCAAATTGATCTACATATGCAAAATGTTATATCAGTCAAAACAAAATGTCATTATAGAATTTAACAATTAGATTCTAAAATTTATATAGAAGATAAAAGGATCAGGAATATCCTAGAAGGCTTGCCCAACCAGATATCAAGATTTATTAGAAATAACTGAATGTGGGATAAACACATTGATTAAAAATCAATTTGGATCAGAACAGGGAGCTAGTAATCAAGTCCCCACATATAAGGTAATAAAATACCATATTTAATAAAAATATGATACTTTTTATAAAAATGAGCCTAGGTCAACTGATACCATATAGGAAAAAATGAAATTAGAAGCCTACCTCACAATATATACAAAAATTAATTCCAAATGAATTAAGAACTTCAACATGAAAAAGAAGAATCTGAAAACTTTTAGAATAATTTATAGAAAATGCCTGCAAAAGATAAACAATTAGGAGTTGTCTCAAAAAATATCAAAGAAATAATGTATTCAAAGTGCCACGAGAACAAAAGGTCAACTTAGAATAATTCGATTACATAGCAAAACTTTCCTTCAAGAATAAGAATGAAATACAGATTTTTTAGACAAAGAAAGACCTACTCATCCTCACTGAAGGATATACTTTAGCAGGAAGAAAAACAAACCAAGAGGTAAGGAATGGAGTGCAAGAAACAGCAAGTGCATCAATTCAACCAGTTGGTATAAGTGTACATTACCAGCTTTTTAGAATAAAATCCAACATTTTATAACTTTAAAAGTTGGTACAACTGTCTACAATAGAAAATGATAAGGAAAATAAGATGTTAAATTGACATGTACAACATGTTAACGTCCTGGTGATGTCCAGAAAAAGGGATTGAAAATTTGAAATATTTATATATTGTTAGAAAAAATGATAATGAAATATATGCATTAAAACTTCAAGAGAAATATTCAAATAGCAGAAATTTCTTAGAAGCATGATATGTTTGTGTGAGAGAATACTTTATTCCAAGAAATACGGGTCTATTTTTTCACTTATGCTTAAAATAACATCGTCAGTGTATTTTCTGCATTCCTTTCCTTTTTCTACAAAAGACTGAAAATGCAGTTTAATGTATTTTTAGATGTCCTCCAAGACTTAGTATCTCCCTTTGATAAAATTAATATTTGACAGCTAAAAATAAATAAATATAATATGAAACTATTTAGGAGCTCTGGTAACACAGTACCTAAGGCACTTGACTGCTAACCAGAAGGCTGGCAGTTCAAACCCACTAGCCACTCCTTGGAAGGAAGATGGGGCAATCTATTTTCATAATGATACCGCCTCAGAAACCCAAGGAGGGGTCACTGTGAGTTGGATCTGACTTGATAGCAGTGCATTTGTTTTTTTTTTTTTTTGAATGTTAGAAACATTTCTTTTAATGTCAAGAATAAGACAAGGATCCATACTTATTTACAATACAGTATTGAACATCTTAGCCAATGCTATAAGAAAAGAAAAATGAATTAAGTGAATAATTGGAGATAAAAGGAACTAAAACTCTCATTATCTGCAGATGATATGATGTCCATATATAAAATCATAGAAATTCTACAAATTATTAAAATAAAGGAAGCTCAATAAGACTTCTAAATTAAGAAAATCAATGTAAAAATTAATAGTAGTAACAAATAAAATTTTAAAGATCATATTTATTATAAAATTAGTTGCCATAGATCCAACTCATAGCAACTCTACAGGACAGATAAAAGGATCTCCCCAGGGGAGGAGATCTCCTCAGGAGAGGAGTCTGCAGGACTAGGACTATGATTCACGTAAATGAGGGTGTGGAGTTCACGATTTGGAAGAGAGACACCAGTCCAGCAAACTGAGATTTTTAAGACCCTCAAAGAGCCAGCCTGGGGAATTTTCACTAAACATCTGCATTGTGCAAGATCTCCTGAAACTTTTCATTTCATTCCCTCTCAAAGTGGATGGTGTGTTTGGTAAGGAATGCAGAATCAGGGACAGCTACAGGAATAGAGAGAGATGAGCTTTGTGGTAAGAATGAAGCAGAATGGAAGAACACAAAAGGAAGACACTGGGAAAGCATAAATTCTACGCACTCCACCACACACCTATAGAACTTGGGAAAATGAACAGAGTAGCTCCTGGCAGGGGGGAGTCAAGCATCACAGTTGCATTAGTGGAAAGCTCTCAAGTCATGTGCCTTCCTATTGGCTTTCTGAGGCTCACAGAGGTTTCTAAGGAGGAAGGAAGAATGGGATTTGCACTGGTTTGCAGAATTTTATATTTCTACAGAGGTAATCGTGTGGCTCTTGAGTTTTGACTCATCATGATGTTTATCTTCAAGGCATTTCTCAATTCTTCAAATAGATCTTCATTCCACCACTCACACATTCAAGGATAAAAAACGCAGATAACTGTATTAAATTAAATTACCTTTAAAACCTGCAGCTTTGCTTCAAGCTCTGCTCTTCTGAGAATCATTGTCCCATTAAGAGTCTCTATCCTATTAAAAAAAAAAAGGTAGTAGGAATAGCAAGAGTCATTCTATTAAACAAGTACCATTCTTATGGAATAGGACACTTTGAGTGTAGAGTATACTAAAAAGAAACCCAAATAAAATTTTAAAAATTAAAATAATGTTTTAAAGTATATTTATTTTTTTCATCCCACTTCAAGTGTCTGGACCTAGGCCAAAGGTTCTGACATTCAAAGAAAGAAAATGGGGGAAAAAAAGAAGAAAAACTTCCCCTTGAAATGATAGCTGAAATAAAAAACAAAAAACCAAAGCCACTACCATCAAATTGATTTAAACTAATAGTGATCCTATGGGACAGAGCAGAACTGCCTCCACAGGGTTTCCAAGGCTATAAATCTTTATGGAAGCAGACTGCCACATCTTTCTCCAGGAGAGCAGCTGTTGGATTCAAACCACTGACCTTTTCAATAGCAGCCAAGCATTTACCCACTGCACCATCAGGGTTAACTCATTTGTAAACTGTAGCTAATTTTATGGAAGCCACCAAGCAACAAATATGGTTATGCTGTATTGGAATTTATTATTATGGAGACTGGTGGAATCACGTCATTCATCTGGTGGCTATTTATTGAGCATCTACTATGTGCCAGACTCTAAACACTGTGATAAACATAAGGAGTATAGCAATGACAATAGTAGGCATTAGGGGCTTAAAAACAGTGGAATCAACATCCCATTGCTTAAAACAGAGAGCAATCCTTTTCTCCCTTATTGTTGTCAATTGCCATCGAGTTGATTCTGACTCATTGCGATTCCATGTATACATAGCAGACTGCTCTATAGTGTTCATAAGGCTGTGAGCTTTCAGAAGCAGATTATGTTCTGAGCTGCCTTGGGTGGGTTCAAACAGCCAGCATTTAAGCTAGCAGTCAAGCACTTAACTGTTTGCTCCTTTCAGGGACTTTCCCTTTCTTCCTTAGGATCTTTATCTCTATAAATTGCTTTAATTTTAGAACTAGAACAACTGGAATCAAGACCACTATAATAACCTACCGCTCTTTAATCTCAAAACGTTTTAGGTTTACCAACTTTAATCCTAGAATTATCAACTTAACAGTGTTATTTTTTTCCTACACCAAATGGTTTTCTAAAAATAAAAATGTTATTGTATCCTGAGAGATCCGATTTGTTTTGTGGACTCAGGTTAGAGGACTTTATTTTAACAATGAAGCCATCAGTCTGAATAAGATAACAAATACCATTTTTGAATCACACAAGTAAGCATTTTTAAAGCACTGGCTCAAAATCCTTTTGATAAATAACCTGTAACTCTATAAAGATAGAAGAAATTTTTCCAGACTTAGGAAATAATAGCATTAAATGGAGATGCCAGTTTTCCTTTACTTCTAATACCATTCTGTCCAAGATAATGAGATGATGACAAACTTGAAAAGATATCTGCTTTCTTTTTAGGGTGGCCTGACTCTCTGGGAGAGAGTGGAGACCCCTGTGAATCTGTTTCATTCAGACTATGTCTATCTGACCTGCCCAAGCATAGATTTCCATAGGCAAAACTGCAAGACATCGGGAGCTCTCTTCAGTACTTTGTTACAGACTGTCTCACATTTTTCTGATCTTCTGCATGCCAACAATTGTGTCCCCTTAATCACCTACCTGACAGTTGCCCACTGTACCCAGTTGGAGCATACTTTTCTGATTCAAACCACCAGTATCTTCCCTTGGACTCTATATGGATCCTACCCTCTGGATTCAGGTTTCTCTGGAGCAATAGTGTCCTCTTTTACCCTGAACTCAAAGAGCACAGAGAGCTGGACTCAGTCCTTTACCACCACCACCACCACTCAACTTTCAAAACTGCCCCCACACATATGCTAAATGTCCTTTGAAGTTCTAGACATGAGATCACTGAAGAACATCAGGAGGATTTTCTGTTAACAGCTTGCAAAGAGCAGCTGTGGGGTAGCAGGTGGCTCAAGTCCCAGCTCTATCTCTTACTAGTTAGCGACCTTAACTAATCCCTCAATTAAGCCTGAGTCACTTCATCTATAAATGTAAATAAATAGATGCACGTCCCACTCAATCAGAATAAGAAACCCTAGGTGGTGCAAATGGTTAACATTCCAGCTGCTCAGCAAAAGGTTGGAGTTTTGAGTCTACCCTGAGGTACTTCAGAAGAAAGGCCTGCCTATCTATTTCTTAAAAATCAGCCACTGAAAACCCTATAAGACAGTTCCAATGTGGGGTTGCCATGAGTAGGAATCCTTTGGATGTTTTTTTTTTTCCAATCAAAATAAAACCTAAATTCTTGGCCTGACTGATGAGGTCCATGGTCTGCCCCCAATCACCTCCCTACATTCACTTTTTATCATATCCCTCCTTTATTTGTCAACCTCCAATTACACTGACTTTCTCTCTGTCCCTTAGAGGGGCCAAGCTCATTTTGAGAATTCAAGCAACCTCTCTACCTGCAATGCTCTTACCAGGTGTTCATATCACCCTCCCTTCTCTTAATTTAGGGTTCAGCTCAAACGTCATCTCCTCAGAGAGAAACTCCTTGAATACCTAAGCTAAAGTAGCAGCCCATTTACTCACTTTTCTATCCCATTTTCCATTTTATTTTCTTCACAGAAGTTATCAGTAAAACAAATATCAAGATTACTTATTTGCAGGTACTTTTATTATGTATCACCTTTCACAAGTATTAAAACACTAGAAGATTCTGTGTTTCTTTCCCCTGAGCCTATCACCGAGCTGGAAACAGTATTTGCTCAATAATATTCTAATGAATGAATGAATGCATTCCATCTTTCAATTACTTTATAAGGTTTTATCAGATGCATGGATATTATTATAGTTAGTAAATCAGTCAAATCCCTATCGGAGAGACCAATGTCCCGTTCATAAATTTGGAATGCTAGCAGGTGTGAATGTATTGGGGTAGGGGGTAAGCAGACTTTGTTCTCCCCTTCCTTCTAAGGATTTAAAAAAAAAAAAAAAGTGTGGCATAAGAGGAAAAAACTCAACCTTTTGACCTTTGTTTGTTCTAACTGTAAGATTATATCTACCAGGCAAATTGAACCAGCTACCCTCTCAGCCCAAAGTGAGTATGTGCCAGCATAACTGAATGTGACATTTAGAAAACACTTTTTCAAATGCTATCCCGCCCACACAGACACTTGGACTATTGATGTCCTCCAACTTCAGATGCTGACAATGTTTTCATGTCTGAGAAAACATTGAGAAACAAAAGAAATGGATGAAAACATCTGTATCTAATCGCAAAGCTATGGTACAAGGCCTCCCTTCCTGTCATCCCCGAACAAAAAGCCATTCACTCAACAGGTATTATGAGAGACCATAACATTTCTGAAGCCCCACGGGAACCAGAAAGATAGTTACGTTAGCATGTTTCCGGATGATCTGATCAGGTCAACCACTTGTTTGTGGGTGAAGCCTTCTGTGCTCACTCCATTGATATTTGCAAGGACATCACCTGAGAGATGCCAAGGAAAATGAATGTTACAGCAGTCAAGTAATCCCTCCTCATCTGTACTGCAAATGAATCAAAACAAACAAGCACTAAACCTTCACAATATGACGGAGCTAAGGAAATTCAAATCAATAGTCACATCCTGATCTTCACTATCAAAAAGTTTTCTTTGCTTGCTATTTAAATGATTTGAAACATGAGCAAAGTTGTAAGTTACCAGTTTGCAAGCCAGAGCAGTGAGCTGGGCTGTCCTCCTGTATTTTGCAGATCATAGTACACATCTCCCAGGAGCAGGTGTTCTGGTTCTGGAGTCTGTAAGTCTGTAAGAATGAAAGCGATACACAGACACTATGCAAAAACAAAACAAAACCCTCAATATCTACTTACCAAAAATAAAATTGTGTCTATTAACCTTAAGCTGTGTGGTAAAAAAGAAAGAACTCATGGCAACACCATATGTGTCAGATTGGAACTCTGCTCCATAGCGTTTTCAATGGCTGATATTTTGGAAGTAGATCACCAGACTCTTCTTTTGAGACACCTCTGGGTGCACTCAAGTTCCCAACCCTTCAGTTAGCAGCTTAGTGCATTAACCATTTGCACCACTCAAGTACTCTAAAAACAAAAACCAAACTCACTGCTGTTGAGTTAGATATGACTCATAGCAGCCCCTCCTTGGGTTTCCAAGGTGGTATCACTACAAAAGTAGATTGGCCAACTTTCCTTCTGAGGAGTGGCAGTGGATCTGAACCACTAGCCTTCTTGTTAGCAGTCAAATATCTTAGACACCTCACCACCAGAGCTCCCCCACTGCTCTAAGTGCAAAAAAACAATTGGGGAAGGTTTTCCTGACTATAAGCTGAATCATAGGTAAAAATTTCACAATTCTACCAAGCAATCCACAGTCAACTCCATTCATAACAAATATCTGACTTGAGAAAGAAAATGGGTTAAGGGTGGCTCAATATTTTAGCTTCACAAGACTAAGAGACCACCTGGTGCTGTCATCATTGCATATTTACTAAGAGAAATTAAGTTTCTCATTCCCTAATGGGATAAAACAACACTGTCCAAGAGCAAAGAGAAAAATCCCTACATAATTCTCCCAAGCTAAAGTAATCATTACAGGCAAGTACACAACAATACACACCCAGCCAGAGAGAGATGCCAACAAACAAAATTTAAAATGTTTCGCAAGTAGTAACAATCTGCCCTGCATTTATTCAAAAGCACTATAATTGACTCCGTTATCTTCATTTCTGAGCATTCTCCTGTATGCCTGCCCTGAATACTCACCAGTTTATTAGTTTCCCAAGTAAATTAGAAAAAGTTATGCTTTGCTTCCTGGTTCAATTTGGCAAAAGTATTTGGTTTGTTTGTTTGTTTAAATTGTAGCAAGAACACTGAGGACATAATGTCCCAATGACCTATAACAAACATGGTTTTCTTTTTTCATATGTGTGTTATGAGGTCTAGTTCTACTTAGCACCAAAATCAGTGCTCTGAGTTAGATTTTTTAAACATCTGATTCCTAAAACTAAGTCACATCACACCACTTCTTCTTATAAAACCAAACCAAAACAAAACAAAACAAAAAAAAACAACCCACTGCCATTGAGTTGGTTTCAACTCATAGGAACCCCTGTTGGGTTTCCGAGGCTGTAAATCTTTACAGCAGTAGGTCTCCACCATCTTCCTTCTATGGAGCATCTGGTGGGTTTAAACCACTGATCTTCTGGTTAGCAGCCAAATGCCTTATCCACCATGCCACCAGAGCTCCTTACTTATTCCCACAGGAAATATTAATGTCTAATGTTCATTCCAAGGTGCTCCAGTGGGGATGTGGTCCTAGCTTTGGGCTGCTAACCAAAAGGTTGGTAGTTCAAAACCACCAGTCACTCTACAGGAGAAAGAAGCAGTTTGCTTCTGTGAGGATTTACAGCCTTGGAAACCCTATGGGGAAGTTCTACTCCGTCCTGTAGGATCCCTATGAGTCAGAGTTGACTCAAAGGCAGTGTTTCACTTGTTTGCTTTTAATGTTTATTCCTTCTTACTTGGTTATCTGTGAGGTACCACAGGTCAGTCACATGCAAACAACTTCTAGACACTTGGGTTTGTTACTCTCTAAGGCACTTCTATTCAATCTATAAGGTATTTAAAGGTAAAAGGAATATTTAAAGATCATATCCTTCACTTTGCATTTATGTCAGAAACCACTTTAACAGTTCTCCTGCCAGATAATCTTTTCACTAAAGCCCAGGCCTCTCCAGAGATGGACAAGAATATACCACAAATGGGATGGGCTTAACAACAGGAGTTTATTCTCTTACAATGTGGAGGCTTTAAGTCCAAGTTCAAAGTGCCAGGCTCTAGGGGCTGGGTGAAAGCCCCTCAGCCTTGGGCTTCAGCTCTTCCTCCTGCTTCCGGCCCACTGAAGCTAGAGGCTTTTCCTCACTCAGACAGCTGCTGGCTGCTGAGGCTGACAAGGTCAAGGTTGACAAGTAAAAAGGCACAGTCCTGATGTTACCAAACCACATAGCAGGCCATTAATTCAAGTCCCCTAAAAGTCCCAAGGTTGGCAGACCATGGCAGGCTGCTAAACAATGACATAGCTACATGCAGGATTCAAGTGTGCCATAAGCTAGAGACCAGTCCCAAAGCTGTTTCTTATATATGGGAAGTAGACCACATCCCTGAAGCAGCTACTCAGCTGCTTGTGGTAGGTCCCACCATGGAGTTGCCAGTCTCATCATGGGGAATAACTACCACCAGCTGCCCAGCCACTCAACCAGGCCCAGCCAAGTTGACACACAAACTTAACCACCACAGGTGGTATGGTCCATGTGCTACATTAACTAAAAATACAATGGGCTCTCTGTGAATCCACTGTTGTAAAAATTCTCATTAGCAGGAAGAATTTAGCTTCAATCTCCAGTGTCAGAGTATAAAACACACTGCCATCAAGTTGATTCTGACTCATAGTGATCCTATAGGACAGAGTAGGACTGCTCCATAGGGTTTCCAAGGGTGTAAATCTTTATGGAAGCAGGCTTCATCTTTCTCCCACGGAGCAGTTGGTGGGTTTGAACTGTCAACAGTTTCATTAGCACCCCAGTGCTTTAATCACAGCACCACCAGTCCTAAAGTGAGTACAGTGGATGGAAAACATGTTGACTTATGAAGCCAGTGCCTGCATACATTTTCACAATGGGTATAAAATGTAGAGGTTAGAGGTAGAGAAGAAAAGGCAAAAGCCCAAAAGTTATGGAAGGAAAAAATTAGTCCGATGCTTATTTCCTTTTTACCCAGTCTTCCAGATCCCAGTTTTAAGGGCCAAGAACAGAATGATCAGCAGAACTTCTTGGAGACAGAAAGGGACTGTCTTAGTTATCTAATGTCTCTGTAACAGAAGTGCCTCAAGTGGGCAGCTTAACAAATAGAAATTTATTTTCTGAATTTGGAAATGAGAAGTGCAAATTCAGGGCACCAGCTCTAGAAGTCTCTCTCTGTGTGTCTGCTCTGTGGAAAGGTCCTTGTGTCTTCTCAGCACCTATGCCTAGGTGCCTTGGCAATCACATAACATGTATCTATCTTCCCCTGTTTGTGCTTGCTTGTTTCACTGATCTGCTCTTCCAGAAGAGATTGACTTAAAACATATCCTACACTAATACCACACCTCATTAACATAACAAAAACAACCCATTCCCAAACAGGATTATAATCCCAGATATAGGGGTTAAGATTTACAACATATATTTTGGGAGGACACAGTTCAATCCATTATAGGGTCATTGCCTCTTTTCATGCCCAATACATTTCATTCTAATATTTGTCACTCATTACTGGCACCAAGCCATGAAGTACTTTATATGTTATTTCATTTTAAACTCCTAAGAACTCTAGCATAGTGCCTAAGGCACTTGACTGCTAACCAAAAGGCTGGAGGTTCAAACCCACCAGCCACTCCTCGGAAGGAAGATGGGGCAATCTACTTCCGTAGTGGTACTGCCTCAGAAACCCAAGGAGGGGTCACTATGAATCGGGTCCGACTCAACAGCACATAACAACAACAACTCTATAAAACAGGTACAGAGAGAATTTGAACCTCTGTGTGCCTGAGTCTAAAACCTGTATTCATATCAAGCTGTATGATTCTCACTAGCAGTCTAAAAACTGGTGCCCATGGAAAACCAGACAGGAGACTTGACCTAGTGTCTTCCACTTGGGAGGCCAGGACTCAAACACATGCCCACAATGGGTGGACAATACCGTACAGGAATTCGGACTGAATTCAGAGTTCCCAGAAACATTTCTCATTTTTGCACTGCTGCAAATCTTATCACTACAAAGGAGATGATGGTGTAGATCTAGTCATGGGAAGCATAGACCAAAAGGCAATGTGCAGGAGACACATACCTCTTGCAGTTCACAGATGAAGTCCTTAGCTCACGTTGATGTACTATATCACTATAATGTTTCACTATAATGAAACAGTTGACAGTTCAAACCCACCAACTGCTCCATGGGAGAAAGATGAAGTCTGCTTCCATAAAGATTTACACCCTTGGAAACTCTATGGAGCAGTGCTACTCTGTCCTATAGGGTCACTATGAGTCAGAATCAACTTGATGGCAGTGGGTTTTATACTCTGACACTGGACATTAAGGCTAAATTCTTCCTGCTAATAAGAATTTTTACAAGAGTGGATTCAAAGAGGAGAGCCCATTGTATTTTTAGTTAATGTAGCACATGGACCATACCACCTGTGGTGGTTAAGTTTGTATGTCAACTTGGCTGGCCTGATTTAGTGGCTGGGCAGCTGGTGGTAGTTATTCCCCATGATGAGACTGGCAATTCCATGGTGGGACCTACCACAAGCATGTTGAGTAGTACATCAACATGAGCTAAGGACTTCATGTTGTGGCCCTATAGCCCATTGTCTACCAATGATATTCTGACTTTTCTATGTAGAATAAATGCTCATGGTATGGAAGGGATACATAATGAAGCAGTGACAGTGTGTGTATGTGCGTGCACATGTGTGTAAGTGTGTGTGTGTGTATCATAGCAGAATGAGAAATTGTGTTTATCCTGTTTTCAGTAGCAATTGGTGCACATCCCTGGGGATAATTCTCACTTGAAAAGAAGCTGACACATAAAGCAGTGTCTCTATAACAAAACAGGGAGTGTTTCTTGTGAACAAAATAAGAGAGCGTTCAGTGCATCTAAAACTATACAGAAGAATTTTAGATTTCACCAAATTTTAAATAGAAGAGTTCAAAAAGTAGAAGTCACCTTCATTTGTCCCAGAGCATTCTCCTTGTTCATTGCAACTAGAGAATCATTTTGTTTCTTTGTTCATACCACAGGTTTTGCTTAGCAGCTTCCTGTTCTTAATCTTAAAATACACATTAACTTTCCAATTGTGGGATTTAGATTTAGTCATCCAAGGTTTTCTGAAAGCAATACCAAAGCTAAAATCTAAAATCTGATACGTAGTGTAAGAATATGATTATGCAAAACACATCTAAAAGGAACGCAAAAGTGCTGTGGAAAAGAATCCGTAATAGATAAGCCACTGCAGCTGCACTTAGAGACTTCATTTGACCTAACTCACTATCTTTACAAATATAGCCATGAAAAAGCAGACAGAAAATAAGAAATAAAATTCTTGGGCAATTAAAATGAAACCTATAAAAACTGTTAAATTTCCTGCAGCAGGAGTCAACCTGCAATTTCATTACGTCCAATATGAACTCTTTAGTACATTCAAACTAACAGAAACTATACAGGAATACATGCATTCTATATACATAAGAGTCCTGATGGTGCAGTAGTTAAAACGTTTGGTTGCTAACCAAAATGTCAGTTCAAACCCACCAGCCCCTCTGCAGGAGAAAGATGTGGCAATCTGCCACCACAAAGATGAACAGCCTTGAAAACTCTAAGGGACAGTTCTACTCTGCCCTATAGGGTCACTCTGAGTAGGGACAGACTCAACAGTAATGAGTTTGTTTGTTTGTTTATTTTGGTTATATACACAGTACATAATTTTTCAAATATTTCTTGACCAAAGCTAGATTTAAAATATGATTATGCAAAACATCAAATTCAAATATATACAAATTCATACAAAAATATGTTTCAATATATAAATATATTACATAGAATGTAGATAGACCAAATTTCATCTTAAAAAGTCTGAAAAATTTGAAAATTGCCCACCTGAATTTCAAATCCAAATGTTCCATTATCCTGCTTTTCCACAATAACCAGTTTTCTGTAATAAAAAAACTACATATGAAGATCAAAGCATCATATTTGGCACATATTTATCATTAAAAATAAGTGTCATAACTAAGAATAGCTGACATTTATCTAAATTGTATGCATGAATCTGTGTGTGCACGCGCGTGCACACGTGTGCATGTGTATGTGCCTGCTACCAACATTCTGGAGAACGGTATGCCTAAACATTTGGTGAGAAATCAAAAACATGAGTAAATCTCTTTACCTTTGAGGCCAGGAAAAGTCACCTAAAGAACTTGATCTGGTCAAAGAGAGCTGAAAAATAAAAAAAGCACAGAGTTATCTAAAGGTTCTTAAGACACAACTGTAAAATGTTCTAAATCACAAAAGACTTTGTTCTTTATCTACTTCTTTATCTCAATTTCTGGGAAATTGCTGTGTCAATGAAGCAATTTCTATTCTCTAGTAATATCAAAGGAGTCCGGGAGTGGTGCAAATAGTTAAGCTACTAGGAGGCTAAATGATGACAGCTCTAAACCCCTCAGAAGCACCTCTGAACCCACGCCAGGCAATCTGCTTTGGAAAACTAACAGCCTTGCAAACCCTGTGAACTGGTTCTATTCTACACAAATGAGTCAGAATGGACTCAAGGACAACTAACAAAAACAGCAAATGATGGCTGGGAAAGGGACTTCCCGGAAGTGCTTGGAATTCCTCTTAAAAGAGGCTCCAATAATATACTGCAGCAAAGAGTTAATGTAATGAGGTAAAACCAAAATCTCCCAAAAATAACTCATACCTGAACTGTGTGTATTTAAAACAGCTTCTAATACCTTAGGAACCATGGTAGCTTAGTGGTTAAAGCGATTGGCTGCTAATCAAAAGGTCAGTGGTTGGAATCCAACAGCCCCTCCCTTGGGAGAAAGATGTGGCAGTCTGCTTCCAAAAAGATTTTACAGCCTTATATGAAGAAATGTTTACCATGATTAGCCATTTGTTGTTGTTATTGTTTGCCATCCAGTCGGATCTGACTCATAGCGACCCGTCCTTGGGTTTCCTAGGCAGTATCACTACAGAAGTAGATTGCCCAACCTTCCTTCCAAGAAGTGGCTGCTGGGTTTGAACTGCCAGCCTTCTGGTTAGCAGTCAAATGCCTTAGGCACTATGCCACCAAAGCTCCATTAGAGAGATGCAAATCAAAACAAACATGAGATACCGTCTCACTCCAGCATTAATAGCAAAGTGCAACAAGACAGAAAGTAACAAATACTAGTGAGTATGTGGAAAGATTGGCACCTTATACACTGCTGGTGGAACTGTAAAATGATACAACCACTGGGGGAATCAGTACGGCTATTCCTTAAGAAATTGGAAATAGAAATACTATTTGATGCAGCAATTCCTTTACTGGGTATATAGCCCAAAGAAGTGAGAGGCAGGACACAAATAGAAATATGCACACCCATGTTCATCACAGCACTATTCAGAATAGCAAAGAGATGGAAACAACCTAAGTGCCCCTCACCCAAGGAATGGATAAACAAACTGTGGTACATACATACAGTGGAATGCAACCCTAAAGAGTAATGTAGAATCTGCAGAACACTGCATAACAAGGACAAACTTGAAGGACATTATGTTGAATGAAGTAAGTTACTTGCAGAAGGACAAATATTTTATTAGTCCACTATTGTAAAAAGTTAAGGAAAGGTTTATACATGGAAGGAAATTTTCTTAGTTGGTTATCAGGGGTGGGAGGGAAGGGGAAGGAAAATTCCTAGATAGGTTGGAAATATATATATACCAAAGATTATTGATGATTACTAAGGGTAGGAGGGAGGTGGACAGGGGAAGCTTTTATTTGCAAGGCATTGAGTTTATGCTCATGGTGGTGTAATATTTTGGAAAAGGATAGCAACAGTGGTGGCACAACATGAAAAATATCATCAATGTCCCTGAGCTATAAATGTGGAAGTTGTTATGGTGATGAACATTTTGTTGTGTATGTTTTCACCACAATAAAAGCTAAAAAAAAAAAAAAAAAAAAAGATTCACAGCCTTGGAAACCCTATGGAGGCAGTTCTGTGTCTTGGGTGGCTATGAGTCAGAATCCACTTGGTAGCAATGGATTTTGGTTTGGGGCTGAAAGATTAAACTGTAACAATTGTAGTCCACTGACAATCAAAGAAGAATAACATCCAAGGAATAAAATGTAAAACCCAAATACTTGATAGCTCTTAGAAATGTTGATGAGATGGCTGTGTTTACTATAATGGTTCAATGTGAGTTACTGTTTTTAGCAGAATAAAATAATCTCTAAAGGACCAACTCGTACACAGAGAAACAATTCTAAAGAAACCAGGGACCCAAGACCTTTTATTCTTCTTATAATTTATTTTTGCAATAGTTTTGAATTAATGCAGTGAGATTTCCAGGGAAGAAAAGGAAAGGAAACCTCAGAATAATATAAATCATATACATTGTTTAATAACACCTACACACGTTTTTGGAAAAAGATTATAAGCTTCCTGGATACAATCTACCATTGTAAATAGAGGAAAAATCAACAGAAAGTAGCATCTTATTTCATAAGACATTAGAACTGATTTTTGTTTGTTTAGGAATTAATGAATGTTAGTTAGATTATACTAAAATATTAGTCCTAGGGTCCAAACATAAGCTTATGCTAGTAGCTAAGCCATGATGTTTAATTGTCAGCCTAATGTGATTGTGATTCACCAATGAACACATAAAATATAAAAGATCAATGCATTGTCAGTATACCAAACTAAAACTCTTTGCCATTGAGTCAATTCCAACTCATAGCAACCCTTTTAGGAGAGAGTAGAACTTCCCCATGAAGTTTTCAAAGCTGTAAATCTTTATGGAAGCAGACTGCCTCCTTTCTGCTAGCAAAGCAGCTGTTGTTGTTGTTATGTGCTGTCGAGTTGAACCCAACTCATAGCAACCCCTCCTTGGGTTGCCGAGGCGATATCACTACGGAAGTAGATTGCCCAACCTTCCTTCTGAGGAGTGGCTGGTGGATTTGAACCACCAGCCTTCTTGTTAGCAGTCAAGTGCCTTAGGCTCTGTGCTAACCAGAGCTCCTTAGCAAAGCAGCTAGTGAGGTCGAACCACCAACCTTCTGGTTAGCAGCCCAATGCTTTAACCACTGCACCACTGGAGCTCCTGTAGTCAGTATAGGCAAATTAAAATAATTACAGGATGAAAAACTGGAAGGAGAATGTGTTGGTTAAGTTTGTGTGTCAATTTGGCTGGGCCTGGTTGAGTGGCTGGGCAGCTGAATGTAGTTATTCCCCATGGTGAGACTGGTAATTCACTCCATGGTAGAATCTATTGGAGCAGCTGAGTAGCTGTTTTGGGTATGTGGTCTGCTTCCTGTATATAAGAAACAGCTTTGGGAATGGTCTGTAGCTTATGGCACACTTGAACCCTGCATGTAGCCGTGTCTTTGTTCAGCAGACTGCCATGCTCTGCCAACCTTGGGACTTTCAATGGACTTGAATTAATGGCCTGCCATGTGGTTTGGTAACATCGGGACTGTGCCATTTCATTTGTCGACCTTGGGCTTGTTAGCCTCAGCAGCCAGTAGCTGCCTGAGTGAAGAGATGCCTCTAGCTTCAGTGGGCCAGGAGCAAGAGGCAGAGCTGAAGCCCAAGGTCAAGGAGCTTTCACATAGCCCCTAGAGCCTGGCACTTTGAACTCGGACTTCTAGCCTCCTGAACTGTAAGAGAATAAACTCCTGTTTGTTCAAGCCATCCCATTTGAGGTATTTTCTGTTAGAGCAGCACAGAGGTAACTAAAACAAATAATACAAGGGAGAAATTAATGGGTATGTAACAAATTACAAAATGGAAAGCTCATTAGAACATTCCTTAGCAGGAAAGGCTACATCACCATAAAGAATTCGAATCACCATGTACCATGCCATCATTCTCACACATTTCCACAATAGTGCAGTATTCAGCATTCAACTAGCAGTCAGTAAAGTTAATTTAATGAAGAGGTGATCTCTTCCAACCTATTTGATGTGAATGAATTGCATTTCCCTCTCTTGTCAGTTCCGGTCCTCAACTCATTTATATGACCCTGAAGACTGAAACAGGAAGGCTCAGAAGTGAAAAAGATTCTCTTACTAAATAGTATTTTCAATTTATGAGAACTACCTGTGGAATACCTACACCAGTTTGTGAGGTTTGATATAGCCTGATTGTACCTGCTACGTACTGTTAACAAGGGTGGAGACAATTCAGCTATGTGATTGGCTGCCTTTTGTGGAAGAAAGCAATAAACTTTATATCCCTAAGCATGCTCAGTTTCTCCCTTATATTGCACTTACATCTCCTTAATCTATTTTCATACTGTTCATCTGTTTAGTCTTCTATTCAAGTTGTGAGGTACATATATAGGCCATGTTTTTTCTAATATCTCTAAGGTTTTATTTTTAAAATATCACTCTTGCTATCATTATTTATCAGATATTCATATATCATATATATAATACATATATATCATGTATGCATAAATATGTTATTGTCACTAGCTGCCACCATGTTGGTCCCCAACTAATGGTGATCCCACACCCAATGGAATGAAAGGCTGCCCAATGGGTTACAGATCCAACTATTGTGATCCATAGGTTTTCACTGGCTGACTTATGGAAGTGGATGGCAAGGCCATTCTTCCTAGTATGTGTTAGTTTGGAAGCTCCACAGAAACCTGTTCACTATCATAGCAACAAAGCAACACACAAACTTCCCCTAACTAACAGGTAGGGCTCCACATGAGGTGCATTGTCCAGAAATAAGCTCACACATATACTGTATTTTCACACAAATAACACTCACTACACTTTTTTTTGCCAACTGTGCCCTTCCCCAAAGGGGTTTTCCTAAATGTTTTGGTTCTCTAGTGCTGCTCTAACAGAAAATACCACAAGCAATGGCTTTAACAAACAGGGATTTATTCTCTTACAGTTTAGAAGACTACAAGTCCAAGTTCAAAGTGCCAGCTCTAGGGGCTGAGTGAAGGCTCTTGACCTGCTTCAGCTCTGCCTCCTGCTCCCAGACGACTGAAGCTAGAGGCTTTTCTTCATTCAGGCAGCTGCTGGCTGCTGAGGCTGACACACCCAAGGTCAACAAATAAAAAGTCACAGTCCCAATATTACCAAACAATATGGCAGGCCACTCATTCAAGTAGAGAAAAAGTCCCAAGATCGGCAGGGCAGGGCAGGCTGCTGAACAATGACTTGGCTACATGTAGGGTTCAAGTGCGCCAAAAAGCTAGAGACCTTT